TGTGGTGTCATTTTAGTAAGTCGAAGATGAAAAAACTTCCAGTGGCTTATAATGATGCACTGAGAATTGTGCTTAATGTCCCTCGGTGGAATAGTGCCAGTGAAATGTTTGTGTCCAATAAAGTGCCCACTTTTAAAGCTGTTTTAATAAATTGTGTGTATAGATTCATGTGCAGATTGACAGGGTCTAAGAATATGATTGTTGTGTCCTTAGTGGATGTCTCCAAGAGGGACACAAGGTATACATCGTGCTTCTGGAGACATTGGACCCGAAGCCTGTATAAGTTTTTTTAAATGATGCCTCGGCTGCATCATACCTAAATGTTGTTTGTATTGTTGTTTTTTATGTGTATGTATTCTCTATGGACCTCTGTGTCTGGAATAAAGTTGATTGATTGAATATGACCACGGAAGTAATTGAAGTGTGCAATAATTAGTTGGTGGTACAAAAAGTCTCTTCACCTTGACCTCCATCTCCTCCCACAGGATTCGGTTCGCCTGAAACAAGATGTTTTCTGTGTTTACTTTGTGCATTTGTAGAGTGATAATAGCTGGTATATTTAGCCTGTGCTCAAATAAAAATATGTACTTAATAGTGGGATAGTTTCGCTTAATGAGTGAACACCAATTATGAGACTCAATTTTTTAGTTTGGTTTTTCATCCCTAATCCAAGGGTGGTGCTCCGCTATTATTAACATTTGTTAAGAATCGTATTGACGTTAATAATTTCATCAATGTCAGTCATTTAGTGCTGATACTCGCATGTGACCAAACAACTTCTAATGAGACTCACAACATTACACAGCAGACAGAGAGCAGACAATCCATGAATGAAACGGCACATGAAGCACATCCATCAGAGGGGGAGGAGCTTCAGAAGAGCTCCACCCTCCTGGGATGAGGAGGATCTATGAAGCCCATTCCTCATCTTTACTCCTGTTCTATCTTTATTATATACATCTGATGTCTTTGTTCCTCTTTTTAACAACTTACCCGTCGGAATAATTTGGGGTAATCTTTCGAGCAGATCCATTCTTGGAATCTTTTCCAAAACCTCTCTGGCCACCTTAAGAACGTCTTTGCCGTAGTAGCGCAACATCAGGTCCACTGTGTCCATCTTGTCTGCCTTCTCCCGGTGAGCGGCTGGGATTTTTATGAGGAGCCACTTGAACCGTTTGAACTCCTCCCCGATGAGCCACTCGATCGTGCTGCAGAGGTCCTCCCTGAATTTCTCCATCTGTCATTTTTAAAGACACCAAATAAATATCAATCGTAGAGAACAATTACTACTCTGGATTTCAAAAACATAAGGCAGTGTGTTTTAAAGATGGAGTTATATTAGTTCATTGGTTTGGATTCACAATCAAATAGAATTCTTCTCTCTCTTTCTAAGCACCTCTGATGAAGTCAGCGTCCTCTTTGTGGAGACAAGTTGGATGAATCTGTGAATATTGGGGAAGTGTGAAGGTGGTTCACAGCTTCACCTGCAACAACAGAAATGCCGTGTAATTTGTATTCATCAAACAAACTCAATTCATAATCAAACTAATCATGAAGCAGGAAGTATATGGAGCCAAATCCAGGACAAAGCTTTTGATCTTTCGAAAAAGAGAATTGAAAAAAACTGTTTTCAAAATAAAATTAAGATGATTTAGTTCTTCTAAAATATTTATTTTCATTATTTTCTAGATAAATAATCACATTATTTTCTATATATATTTATTTTCATTCTTTTCTAGATATATAATCACATTATTTTCTATATATAGATATAGATATTTAGGTTCTTTTCATTATTCAGTTGTAGATTTCATATTTTCCGATTCAACTGTTCAATCGTTTTTTCACTGTCAGACTTTTGGTCCTGATAAGGGGGCGTGGCATCAACCGAGAGGGGCGTGTCATCATGAGTGACAGCTTAACAAAGAAGGCTGAAAAGGTTCCTCAACCGTGTTGCCTTCAGGAAGCGTAGGCACTGTGGTAATTATGAATCCACACTTTCTATACACCACATTCACGTGATTGGCAGGAAGACAATTTACACCAGTGACAAAGTTCTACTTAGCGAGCTGTTTTAACACGAATCACAGAATAAGAGGAATAAACTCAGATAGTAGCGTTCAACAACCACGTTTGAATCTCTGAACCACTGTGAACGCAGCGTAGCATCCATGTGATGGAGTCTGCTCCACCCGATCACGTGAACATGGTGTATAGCGATATAAACACAATCAAACAGGAACAGCTAAACACACACAGTGATGAACCATAAGCATGTGACAGCAGATACGTGTGAGCTTGCTTTCTGAATGTGGACACATGTGAAGGACGTCCAGTCATCCGACAGCTTGTCGCAGAGAGCAGGACGTCTTTGACTGAAGGAACCCACAGTGGATATTTGGAACGGCTAAAACAACTTGAACCCTCTGACTTGAGGTATTTTCCAACATGAGGCAAACCAGTCGTACCAGATGGGTGTGTGTTTGTGTGTTAGTATCCGTGTAGATGTGTGTGTGAACGGGTTTTTCTCCATTGTTGGTGTGGTTACGATCAGGAGTCCTGATGTCTGATCTATGAACGGCTTATCTGCACTTCCTCTCCAACAAGTAAAGATAATATATATATATTTACGTAGTAAGGATGTGCATTAGGTGCTATAATGTCTTTGGGGGCACGACTCTGTTTGAAAGGTCGTGTTTCATCAAGATTAGAAATATGAAGCAGTTTGATGTTGATAGAACTAAATAAGTGAATATGGTGACTAAAAGTGTTGATTCATAATTCCAGATTTCCTGAAGGCAACGCGTTGAGGAATGTTTTCAGCCTTCTTTGTTAAGCTGTCAATCATGATGACACGCCCATTTCAGCTGATGCCACGCCCTCTAAGCCATATCAGGGCCAAAAGTCAAAAATATTTGTATCCGAAAACATAAAATCTTCAACTGAAAAACATAAGACCTCGAATCTAAATAAAAAATATATTGTGCCCCTCCGTCTGCTACCTTCCCCTCTTCATCAGTAACAGTCCTCACAGACCCCAGATCAGACTGAGCTCCTCTTCTTCATCACAGCGTCATCGTTCAGACTAACAGCAGCTCCTCTCTGCCTGCTCACACAGGCGCCATCTTGTTTCCCAGCTTTAAACAATCACACGTCCACAAGCATCAATGATGTCATTCAACCAATCACAGCTGCACTTACTGAGCTTGTAGACATGAACTTCCTCAGTGAGCAGCTCTCTTCTGTCCTCAGCAGGTCCGTGTAGAAAAGCAGCTCCGTGCTTCACTTCAGCTTCCATCAGACGGAGTGAAGTGACGCAGCTTGTTGGAGCTTGTTGTCCTTCATCAGAGAGGGTGCGTCCTCACGTCACCATCAAAGTATGCAGTCTGACTCGTTGACTGAGTCTCAGTCTGAGCTGTTCAAGGGTCAAAGGTGAACAGAATCCTCCTCACTGCTCGAACAAGAGTCTTTTAGGATCAAAACCAGCATCAGTGGAACGATCCTTCCACCTTGTAAAGAGTTGCTATGGCAACAGACTGGATGCTGTAGTTTGGACCAGATGGTCCAGAGGACCCGTGCACGTCCCTCTTTGTCTCCTGGTCTTCTTCTACATGTAGACTAGTAGGGAACACGTGATGAAGCAGAAACCTTTGTAACAAATGTTGTGAAGAGTTCATACTGAATAAAAACATCCACTAAGACAACAGAGTCTGAGCTGAGAGTGTTTTTATTCTTCACTCCTCTTTGATGATCAGGTTGAACCTGTCGGGGCGGAACAACTCGCCCACGTATCAGTGTGAAGCTGCGTGTTGAATCATTTACTGCAGCTTCCTCACAAAGTACATGTTGTTACATGAAGGATTCTACTTCCTCATCACATGGCACCTTGAACCCTCTGGCTCGTACATCTGCTGTGCAAAGGATTGTGGGTAAAAAAAAGCCAGTAAAGAACATTCACAATCCCCTCTCACCCGCCACCCAAGATGGATAAAACCGCCACTGTCAAAACAATCTGGAGGAAGTAAAGAAAAAAATGATTGATTTTTACTATTGATTTTTCTTTATGTGTTCTTTTGATTTTTTTTGGTGGCAACATGTTATCCACAGCGGTTTAACATAAGTAGATCAAAAAGTGGAGGAAAGGGATTTAATTTTCCTTTAGTCCTTTTTGCACCGTTGCAACGCTCCAGTTGGAGGTTGTTGGAGGCTGGATTTCTGGGGATCTCACTAGAGCGTGGAGACGAAGCGTCTGGCTACGTGTGGTAAGACGGCAATAGTTGGGACGAGGTTGGGAGGCTGATGTCTTTGTCCTGGGTGATGGAGTGGGGGAATTGCAGCGGCTTTTTGGGGATTTGGCCCTTTTTCGTTGATGAGGAAAGTGAACCAGCGTTGACGGTTTGTCGGGTGAACTGTGGTTGTTGTCACTTCTTCTTCTTCTTTTTTCTCCCTGAGGCAGCTGAAGAAATTCAACCTGCCAAAGACGATGATGGTCCACTTCTACACGGCCATCATGGAGTCCATCCTCTGCTCCTCCATCACCGTCTGGTACGCTGCAGCCACAGCCAAGGACAAGGGCAGGCTGCAGCGCGTCCTCCGCTCTGCAGAGAGGCTGATCGGCTGCAATCTGCCGTCCCTGCAGGACTTGTTCGCTTCCAGGTCTCTGAAGCGAGCTAAAAAGATGGTGGCCGACCCCTCTCACCCCGGACAAAAACTGTTTGTGCCCCTTCAATCTGGCAGGAGGCTGAGGTCCATCAGGACTAAGACCTCCCGCCACACCAACAGTTTCTTCCCGTCGGCAGTCGGGCTCATCAACAGAGCCGGTCCCCCACTGACTGACTGACTATAACACTCCACTTGTTACTCCCCCTCACACTGCACACGTCACTTTTTACTCGTCACTTTTGTCACTTCCTGTTGCACTTTAGTTTTTGATATTTTTTAACTTTAGCTTTTATTTTAAACTAACCCATAGCCTTACTCTACTAATAGCCATCGCATTATATTTTATTTTATTCCTCGTGCACTGTTGGCGGTGGATGATCAATAATTGGCACCCACCATGATGCCGTCAACGTGTCAGGATACACCACTGTCCTCCCTTATAATGTGGAAACAAGCCGAGGCTCCAGAGAAACAAGCCCTGATCACCTTCCTCCCTGCTTCCACTTCTGCCTGTATTGATGGTCTGAAAATACGGTTCGTTGTAAGTGGACAGAAGGTCTGTGACCTCTTGAACTGAGACATGGTGTTCCTGAGAATAAATGTCATGTTCAATGATTTCACAACGGTGTCGAGTAACATCCTTCTTACATGTGGTCCTTGGAGGCGGATCTCAAGATCTTCTTGATCACCTTGACTCACTCAAGGTTTGGACGGTACGGTGGGTAAGGGACTCCTGATCAAAGGCGCTATTCCGTCGTGGGTAGTTTGAGAGGCCAGGATCTGCTTGAGAGAGGAGAAGTGACGAGATCTTTTATAGCAAACCGGACCCAAGATATATCGTCTTTGTCTCTAGATCTCGGTTTTGCAAATGTTTATCTTTGAAGTTAGTGGTTACTTTCTTGTTCTGACAAGGTTTGAACTCTGATACTGCGAAATATTCATTTTTATGCGTTTTATTGCTGAGAACTGGAGACTGAGGGTTGTGTCCCGAGGAGCCTGAATTACAGTAGGAACTAGCGCAAATCGTGGCACTGGCAACCCGCCGAGGCACTTCCTGTTGCAGGTTGCGGTGCCGCGGCGAATCGTGGCAAGTGCCTCGACACTGCGGCAGTTGCCACGATTTCACGAGGCAGTTGCCACGAAGTCGAGGCAGTTGCCGCGGCTTCACGACAGCTACCTCGACTTGGCCGCAGTGGTGTCTCGGCAGTTGCCGTTTTCACGACAGCTGCCTCGACTTTGCGCCAGACAGTTTCATTTCCCAAATATGTGATATGTTTGTTTAATAATTTTGCCAATATGTGACAATACACTACTGCCTTTAAAAGTACTAGTGTTGGTAGTTATTTTAGTAATAAAAGCCAATAAGTGATACAACGGCTTCCCATTTTAGTGCAGCTAAGCGAATATGGACTGAGATCACTTGCCGCCCTGGTTACAATCTCTACTTCGAGAACTAATCAATGCGTATGTGATTATATGAACAAACAATAACACTGGGTGGGTGCCATCAAGACGTGTCTAAAATTGAATGTCGGTATATAATATGAGTTACCAGTATTTTCATTTAAATTAATGTTGACTACAATTGTTGACGAAAGAATTTGCCTGAGCGTGATTGTGTGCATGACTGTTTTCAGATATCCAGTGATCGCACAAAAGCTGCTGGATTAAAGTATTAAGCGATTCTATATTGTTTCATGATCAGGCAACAGACAGTACCTTCATGATGGATGTTACCTAAAAGGAAAAATGACATTCTTTAAATGATATTTATTTCCTTTTGACTATATCTGTTGTGCTTGTCAAGAAGCGACCACCCAAACGCAAGGGAACGTAAAGTGTTTTAATGAACACAAACACACAAACAGAAGAATACGGGCGTTTGGCCGGCAACGGTGACGCCCAGTGAGCAGAGAACGAGGTCCAGGCCGAGGGAGACGCACCAGACAGCAGGCAGCTCACGTCAAACAGGAGGCTGGGTAAAGCAGAGGTTAGCAACGGGACAATAATAGTTCAGCTCGAACCGTCAGGACACAACAAGGCAGGAGATACGGGACAGCGAGCTCAGGTACGTCGGGTGCACAGGTAAAGCTCTGCTGGAGAACAAGGGGAAGAGGGAGGCTAGAAATAGAGTCTAATTAGAGGAAGCAGGAAGAGAGGATGATGAGATGAGAGAATGAGAAGCAGCTGGGAATGAATGAGCAGGTGTAATTAAGTGTGTGTGTGTGTGTGTGTGTGTGTGTGTGTGTGAAGGGGGGGTGCGAGTGTGTGTAAATTACAAGAAAGGGGTGGAAAGGAAAAAGAGGAAGGTACCCGGTTTATGACAATATCATGCTATAAACAGTTTTTGTTTACAAGGGAGACAAACATGTATTTCTTAAAAAGTATTTTATTAAAGAATCACTAGATTCATCTATATGGTGTTTTTTCACGTCCATTGTGTTTACTGTGCATGAATGCAACGCATAAATCAAGTTCTGTTCTTTTGTGAATGCGCTGAATGATTTCTGCAGATAAGTCCGTAAAAAATGAACAGTTTTGTTTTAAGCCTAGTACTCTTGACAAAAATATATAATATTACTAGTGGGTGAAATAAAATAATCTCTGCTTTGTTTTTTAATGCAGAAATAAATGTGCTCAAAATCATCTCTGTAATTGTGTCTTGGTTTTGTACTGCAACGATTTGAACATTTCTTAACACTGCTTTCTGTCACTTCCTGACGTGTCTTCAGCACTGAGGAAAAGATTAGGCCTTTGAATGAACTGTAATATAACTATATTATATACCTATACTACTAAAATATATATACACACACATACAAAAAGCTTTCAGCACTTCTCAATAGTTTCAACGTTACAATGCATCAATATTTACAATTTGCATTCATTCGGGGCGCTGCCGGAAAGTGGTTATCGTAACCAAGGCAACGAGCGGTCTTAGCCCATATTAGCTTAGCTGAGCTATTGCATCACTTATCGGCGTTTTATGACTAAACCAATTACAACCAACAACACTCGTACTCTTAAGGACAGAGTACAGCATAGTACAGGATAGTATTGTCACATTTTGTCAAAATATGAAAAGAAAACTGCAACAGTCGAGGCATCATTGCCGCAAAGTCGAGGCAGCTGTCGTGAAGTTGTGGCCGCTGCCACGACTCGCCACGGCAACTCAACCCGCAGATAACAGTCGTACTCAAACTGTATTATACCGTCACATGTTGCATACATATGAATACTAAAATGAACGGAAACAGCCGCGGCACCTCTCCCTTAAACTCCCGGTACGTCTATCAGCCGAGGCACCGCTCCCTTTGGTCGTGGCAAGACTCCTTTAACTCGAGGTACCTCTCGACCGATGAACCGGCCCCTGAATTCGTGGTACCGCTCGAGGTACCTCACTCAGCCGAGGCAACAGGCGAGGCAGTTGCCGTAAACTCGAGGCAGTTGCCACGATTCGCCGCGGCGCCGCAACCTGCAACAGGAAGTGCCTCAGCGAGTTGCCGGTGCCACGATCCGCGCTAGCCCTCTCTCCTGAATTACAGGTGAATCGTAAACCACGGCAGACAAAACACGGGATGAAGGG